GATAAGGAAGTTTATCATTACGTTTCTGGATCAAATCCCAACTTCTTTGACTAGGGGGTATGTTCACTATCTCAATAGCTATTTTGCCATTAAGGTATAACTCGTGAAGTGAGGTTACATGAACTAAATGGCTTCATTAGCCATTTCTGACTCTAACGTAGCGTAGGCTAACGTTGTCTTGCTGCAGAGAGAGCTAACCTGGTGTGTGCTGTTGTGTAACATTCGACCAAAGCTAGCTAACTAGATGTTTGCAGCTCTGTATGAGGAGAATGAAATAGCTGTTACTCGTTAAAATATCCAGGGTAATGTAGGTTTAGGTATCATTTGACTGTAACTACGAGTGGACTCTAGACATAGCTAGCTAACTAGGCTGTCGCGTGTGTAAAGCTAAAGGGACTATAGCATCGTCCATTGTTCATTCAGTCTTTGCACTGACATTGTTATCATCACGGTAAACCTGCTCTATTTCCCTGCCTAACGACGTGAAAACAGTCAGACCTATGCATGTAAGTACAGTACAGTTACAACGTTGATACCATTCATTCATTTTCTATCTAGCTATTAAACTAACTAGACCCTGACACACAGTCATTGCTCAGCTGTTGAGCTTGTAGTGTAGCCTTATCCCTTTAATTAATATTACTTACTTTAGCTGTCATCAAGTAAACTATTTATGCATAGCTCTTAATCTCAATCAGTTGCAAATTTAGTTTATGAAGCAATACATTTGTGACACATGAGCAGATTTACCATTAACTCGCATGCTCTTTTAACTTTGTTGTTTGTCAGACTCTTGACACAACTGACAGACAGCTGGAAAAGTTGAAGCACAGCAGAGACTACAAAGCAGCTGGAAGCACCCTGTTGACAGTGTGTGGAGGATGTCTTCACCAATTTACTACAACCAAGACAGTGTTACTCGCTTCAAGAAAAGAAAAGCTCGTTTCTCTTTCAGTGAAGTCCACATACTGCTGGATGAAGTGAGGAAGCATCGTATGGTTGTTGTGGGTATGTGTCTTCACGTGCTTATCCCTGTCACAGTGGTTTCACCTTTTATATTAAGAGATTGTGTTTTGTGTCTGTCTTCCTGGAAAATGAATGAATGATTGCACAGTAGCAAAAACACAAAAAAAAACAAGGCTAAGCAGAGGAAACAAGGACACACTACATCTGTGATTAATGTAAAATGTCGATCACAATGACAGTTGAAGACAAGTGCTTAAAGTCTTTTTTTTTTTTCCTAAAGGCAAATTTAACCGTGGTGTGCCAACAGACATGAAGAAGCGCACATGGGCAGAAATTACTGCGCGTGTCAATGAGATTGGGGAGTGCCAACGTGAAGTCATCGAGGTTATCAAGAAATGGTCCGATCTGAAGTGTGACACCAAGCGGAAAGTGGCTGCTATGCGATCAGGGACAGTGCCCAACAGGGGCCTCAACTCACGTCTTTCCCGAGACCTTAATCAGACAGAGAAAATAGTGCTCCAGATTCTGGAGATGGATGAGGAAGACCAGAGCACAGGTGACTTTGGACCACTGGGAGATGACGATGATGTGCCAGAGGAGGAAGAAGAAATGGAAGAGGAGGATATGATGGGAATGCAGAGTTCTCCTAATGGAGGGTTGGACATGATGTCTATGCCCCCACCAACTTCCTACACCGCGAGTGAGTGCTTAGAAGAGTAGTCTACCCAAAAATGAAAATTTTGACAATTTACAGTAAATTTCATGTTTCTGCATAACACACATCAAATTATTTTGAACAAAGCCATGTCACCTCCCTCTCAAAATGTTGTGTGAAACTACTGTATGCACATTTTGCCCACAAGATATGAGTGTATGGAACATGGGTAACTCATTTTTCAATGTTGCAGGGGACTCATCACAACCTGCCTTTGATGTGCAGTATGAAGTACCTGCAACAGAAGGTGAGTTGTCAAGATGTGGGGACAAGTTAACCTTGCTAAGTTTGCCCATTTTTGCTCTGTGCTCCAATAATAGTTAAACAAGCCTCGGTCAACTTGCTCCTTTCCTGTACTCGGATATGCTATGTGCTAAGCTCGTCTATATTGTTAGAAAACCACATTTCAATACAATGTTGGCAAAACACTACCTAACTAGCTAGCTAATGTATATCAGTTGTTAGTTAGCTAATGTTTTTTGCTAAAATTAGCTAACTTAAGATAAATGTATATACTATATATGTTGCTATATATATATATATATAGACTTTGTTTGTTTGTAAAAGGTATGATGTTTTGTACTGTCATGTTTTTGAATTAAAACTAAATGAAACAACCAGTACAGTATGTGTGTAGCAGAGAACCAGGTTTTTTTTTTTTGGTTTGCAGGTTTTGCAGTACAATTAATGTTTTACCTGAAATCTAAGTGGGCTGATAAACTTAATCCATCTTCTCCAACTTTTTTCAAATATATCTGTCTTGAGTCTCAAAGCCAAGGTTAATTTTTCCATCACAAGGATGTCATGCATCACATTCCAGTCTGCTGATGTGGGTGACTTGACATAGCCA